CACGGTTGCACGTTCTCGATGATCGTCTTCCCAAGGGCACCCGGCGTTTATCTGCGGTCAAGGTGAGTGCGTGATGGCCCAATGCTATGATGGATGTGATCCCATTCGTACCAAACAACAACCACAAAAGGTAAATGGTGTGGGGAGGGGCTCCCGAGTGGGCTGTGACCTTTGAGTGACCTTTGAGTCGCATTGTGTGTTGTGGGGGTTAGCTTGGGCGGACACTTCAAGTTGAACGACGTGGGGGTTGGGGGAGGTGAAGGGGGGGGTTACAACACGGGAGAGGAAGAGGAGAACACATTTTTAAATAGATTTTTGTATCGAATGGAATTTTTTTTTATCGAATAGATATTTATTGTGATACTCAGATTGTAAATATTGTGGATTTACTCTCCAAGTACTCAGATTGTAAATGTTGTGGATTTACTCTCCAACACACCGGTGTGCTGTACTAGTGTAGTGACATTGATGAGTCACTGTAGCGCGTGCCGCTGGGAGATTGGTAGACAATGAAATTCGGGGTAACAGCCCGTTCTACCAGTTGCACCTGTGGGCAAGGCACGGAGCCCTCTGGCTGGGCCGAGGGCGGAGCCTGGCCACGCTGTTCAGGCTATAAGGCGAGCTCCGACTCACAGTCGGGGCTGTTGCGATCTGGAGTGGAACGCGTCTTGCAGTCGTCGTTGTGATCTTCGCCCTCTTCAAGCTGTGGGTCTGGCAGCATGTTGGCTGTCCCGACCCAGTGTGTGGTTACCCCCTAAGGCTGTGAAGGCCGGAATAAAAGAGTGAGAGTACCTCTTACTAGTGTCTGTGAATTAGCACACTACACTCGTAACGAATTGGCATGTTCTGTTTACGTGACAAACCTTACTAATGGTATGTTGGGTGATGGCGGGTTTAACGACACATTGACATTTATGTGATCTAACCCAAAAAAAACCTGTATTATGGAAGTACTATTATTATCTCCGCGTGATTAACAATTTTCCTCGTGAATACTTCTTACATTGCTCGTATTTTATAAAGCAATTCAACACCCCGTGCAATCGGCAGAGTATTTGCAGGAACTGATCCATGTTTACTCTCCAGCGGGGTTCCTCAGATGTTTGGATCGCCTTTTTCTAAGGACTCCAGTGAGGTCAAGGCTCTGTTCCTGGGCTGATCGGGCTGTTGGCAGTGCAGATCTCAGACTTTGGAACAACGCTTTGTGCCTTTGGTAATAAGACAATCGGAGTCGTTAGGGCTCTTTAAGTCTATTGAAAACGCGCCCCTTTAAACTGGCCTTCATCCCCACTCGTTCTGGCCGTTTACCCTCTAGGTGCTGTTTATTTTCTGCTTTCCATACACTGTGGCGCATTGGGATCTACGGATGAAATGCACCTTATAAATGTAAATTATTATCATTATTATTGAGCAATAAAATCAAACAAATAGTCCAGTTTCCTCTCCTTTACATTGCACTCCTATTAATTGTGCTTTTGTGTTGTAACTTTCTGACCCGCCTGTACTGGGCATATATGAAAAAGAGCTTTATAGCTCAACAGATTCCTCCAGTATAAATACATATTATTCTGATACACGGTGGAGCTATCCAAGCTTGAGCCTGATTGAGTCACATAGATGGAGACCTCACTCGACATTAGACATCTGCGAGCACGGTTGATCTTTAAAGTGGGAGCATACAATTTAAAATGCAGTGAAGATTTGTCCTGGGATTAATTAGGAGATCATGCACATGCAAGAGAAGGATAACCACTACAGTGCATATGTAGTGAGTTCAGGCACTATCTAGAGGCTCTCCTGGGAAGTATGACTCATTACACGTGCATTTAATTAAGGACCAAGATCGGGAAGCAAATTCCCGATCTTGTTAATACCAGATGATGCTGATTTTAATCTCCGGTGAAACGTCGTAGAAAAGCGTGAAATTTTGCTGGCTTTTAAATTAACCAGATTGCTGAAACACAAACTCAACTGGCACATTTGTCCAGGTGATACTTTTATACTGGTAGGAACCACCTGGTTCCCCCAGCCCACAGGGGATTATTGTGTCCGTCCGTCGTGTATCCAAAAATGAGAGGGGTGGGTGGAGAGGGGAGGGTGGGGAGGGGCTGGGTGGGGAGGGTGGGGAGGGGCTGGGTGGGGAGGGTGGGGAGGGGCTGGGTGGGGAGGGTGGGGCTGGGTGGGGGGTGGGAGGGGTGGGGCTGGGTGGGGAGGGACTGGTCACCCCGTGGTGCCCTTATAAAACTCAACGTTTAACCTACTCACGCCGGCTTGTGCCCGTCCTCACAGTCGGGCAAATTTGCGGAATACACCACGCCGCCGTTGACCCTGGCCATTGACCGAGCAACCCAACGTTCCTACCAGCTCCCTCCCCAGGAATGTGTTTTGTTTGGATGTGGTGGAGCGTTTTAGCCCTAATTGACATCATACCGACATGATCAATCCTAAAATAACTAATTCCACGCATGACATAATCACAGCATGACTTGCTATACATCCCAGGACGTAACAAACGCTCGCCATTGTTACAACTATCCTAACCCTCTCGATAACACCTTCATGTACTTTGCTTCACATGCCATGGCACAGTTTACAAATTAAATCACCACAGAATGCTCAAGCAGTTAATGGCTTCATGCACTCAAGGTGGTAATGCTTGGCCCAGCGGTAGCGCGTTCGCCGCTTGTTGCAGAGGTTCATGGTTCCAATCCAGTAGGCTGCCCTGGTTATTACTGCGGATGTATTAACCTTAAAATACCCCTCGTCTGTTTCATTGGACATTAACGATCCTGTGACGTCATTCAAAAGGAGTAGCCCATTGCGTACAGGTATTGTGGTGCAAAATTAGCTAATTACCTGCAAATTACTCAATTGGGATCAAACGCAGCAACATCGCCCACTCCTGTGAAACTACTACAGACAGCGTCTGCTAAACGTAGCGCCTTCGCGACAGCCTCGCATTTGTAAGAAAAATTCAGCGAACACCAAATGCGATGCCCCGATGAAACTCACTGCACTGGTATCGTACCACCACATTACCATCGTAACGAGTGTCAATGACTGTGTCTAACACAAACTAAATGCGCTTGAGACGTGGGGTTACGGAAGAATGGAATGAGTGAGCTGACGTGATAAGATGTGCTGAGAGAGAATTGCGCAAGCAATGATTACTGAGAAGAAAGGTGGCATATGCTGGACATATTCTGAGACGGTCACAGCTGGAGAGGTGATGAGGATGATTGTGCAGAAAAATTGTAAGGGGAGCGGGTAAGGAAGAGAAGCTGGTAGGATATTGTGAGCCGTTGGACTCAATGAGAGACTGAACATCGTGAATAAAAGAGTGAGAGTACCCTCAGTTATGTGGATGACACTGGATATATTGTGAGAATTGACACACCACAAATCAGTGCGGTTTCAACTGCGCAAGAGTGAAAGATAAAATTAGTCCGAATGCCCGTTGCAAGTGTGATCATGTCTAGAATTACTGTAGACCAGGGGTCGGCAACCAAAATAACAAGAAGAGCCATTTCTTTCCAATTCGGTACAAAATTCAGTATTTCAAGAGCCGCAATGCATCTGAGTACGTACTCATCGTCAAGAAGCAGCCCGTAAAGAGCCGCATGCGGCTCCGGAGCCATAGGTTGCCGACCCCTGCTGTAGACAATAAGTTTGAATACAAATCATAGCGGCTGAAATTGTTTCATTATAATACAATGTGGGCTTACATAACTTCTAAATGCAACCATATTTCAAGACATTGTACAGAACAGTGGGTGTATTTTGTGAATACGCCCACTGTTCTGCAGAATAAAAAAAGTTTCCAAAAAATACAACGTCCAACTCTTAGAATTACAGTATCCGTTTGAATATCATGCAACATCCAGTTTGAATGTTGCATCTGCAGGGAATCTGCGCCCCCTATTGTCCAACGATAAAAGAGGCCACTTGCTACATTTTTACTGGTAGGAACCTCCTGGTTACACCAGCCCACAGGGGATTATTGTGTCCGTCCGTCCGTCGTGCATCCAAAAATGGGAGGGGTGGGGCTGAGTGGAGAGGGGGGGGAGGGGTGGGGTTGGGTAGGGAGGGGAGGAGCTGGTCACACCGTGGTGCCCTTATAAAACTCAACGTTTAACCTACTCACGCCGGCTTGTGCCCGCCCTCATAGTCGGCCATATTTGCAGAATAGACCACGCCGCCGTTGACCCTGGCCATTGACCGAGCAACTCAACGTTCCTACCAGCTCCCTCCGCAGGAATGTGTTTAAGATTAATTTCCATGAAAATCTGTTGTGCGGCCATTCCAGGACAAACAGGGCCACATTGATCTTCTTGGTCACGTAGAAGTGAAGAATGAAACACCACCAAGCTTGGAGCGTATATTTAAGCTGGGTTGGAGGGGGGAAGAAGAGCGCCTTGACAAAATAATTTGCATATCAAGAGGAATTTAGCATATTTATGGAAAATGCGTAGGAGGTGGGCGGGAGGTTTCAAAGTCATATTATGCCCGTGCATTATGCAGGATTAGCAGCATCAAAGGGAAGGTAAGGGGGTAGCATTAACAAAGGGAAGGAATGTGAATAGTATGTAGCTACAGTTACTAAACAACCACGTAAAAAACTAAAGTATGAACTACATAGTATCATCAGTATACTAAATATACTTTCCAATAAGCTGAGCTACTAACAGTAAGTAATACATTACAATTCTACGTCGCAAAAAATATAATATGCTTCCAGCTAAACTTTTTTCTCTTACATCACACGGGTCTACCCCGTACATTGCTCATCAAGAGTTCCGAATGGATGCCATGTCTCATGGCAGGATGAAAAATGTGCACCGTGAATACAATGATGGGGAAAATACTTTCTTAAAAACATTTCACCATTCAATTGTTAAATCAATGTGAATCAAAACAGTCCAATGTAAAAGCAACCCATCAACTTGAATCCTTGTAATGCATGTGTTTTTATCCTGGTGCAATTTCTCGTTCATATCCAGGAGGAATTGCAGATACCAAGGCGCGCGGTGTCATGCGGTACGGGTGCTGTGCCTCTAAATAGCAGGATGGAGTGCGACGTCGCTATCGTTTTTCATGGTAAGTTTGTTTTTCATCCGTGCGTGTGTGACCTCGATTGTGGACTATGGTCAGGGCAGCTTCATGTATACATGAGTAAAAAATAAAGTGTTGATTTCTGTTCATCCATGCCGCTTACCATTTATACGGAATGTATATCTATAATACAGGGTGTTTGAAAAACATAAACCAAATTTCAAAGTAGTATATTTCACCATGGCAACATGTTACAATTACACAAAACGTTACAAACGGTTTAATGAGTTATCAAGTATTACTAACCATTTTATAAATGCTCTATATGCCCTCCACCTGCTGCACGGACAACATCGAGACGATAGTTTGATTCGTCCCAAACGTCTCTCAAAGTGTCTTTTTCCACTGAAGTCACCGCTGCCGTGATTCTGTTTTTGAGGTCATCCAGATTAGTCGCTAATGGTGGCACAAAACCACGTTCTTTGACGTATCCCCACAAGAAAAAGTCGCAGGGTGTGATGTCTGGGGATCTTGGGGGCCAAGAGTGTAGCGCCAAGTCTTGGGGTCCCGTGCGACCTATCGAAGCAGTGTGTCTTGCAAATGACTGAGGCTAGGGCAGCGGTCGGGAACCTATGGCTCGCGAGCCATATATGGCTCTTCCAGTGACGGCATATGGCTCCCAGACAATTTTGAGTTGAAAAAATAATTTTAAAAAATCTGTTTGGAACTGATTTTAAAATACTTGTGATATTACTTAATAATACTGTGTCATTTTAAAGTGAACAGAAATTAGTTTTGAAGATAAATTTCACGGGTCACGCCTGCATGAAGCTCAACCTCACCACGTATGTACCAGACTACAAGGCCATCAGCAAAACTATGCAGCACCAGACGTCGCATTAAAAGTAAGACATATTTAATTTATTATACGTTAAAAATACTATATGGCTCTCAATTAAATATATTTAGAAATATTTGGCTTTTATGGCTCTCCCAATCAAAAAGGTTCCCGACCCCTGGGCTAGGGGCTGTTTGTGCGCTGGGAGAGGCATCTAGCAGTACTCATTTGAAACTCTATGCCCCGCCCTTTCAAGTGGTAAGAGTTTTATTCATGGGCGGTTCGTGGTTTCAGAGATATTGCAATTTCAAATCGGGTCTATATTTTTCAAAACACCCTGTAAACATCGTCAGTTTTATGGCAACACATCAACAATTCTTTCCTCCCATTACTATAATTGTCCAAGCAAATGTTTTAAAAAAATAAGTCCACTTTCCTATTTACAATCATTAACACAGTGCACGATACCATAGTCATAACGTTTGCTTAAATATTTAAATTATTTACATTTAACTAGATGCCAAATGTCCATATTTGTACATTTATATGAGACTAATAATAGGGGTTTTCCCCTTTTTTCTGGCAACAAAACTGAAATCTTTTTACAAGGATTCATGTCTGCATTAACCACAATACTTGCAGTCAAAATTAAAAAAAAAACACACTATGATAATATATGCATTGTCCTTGAAACTGATTGGTCCACACCAAAAAACCCTATTATTTTATTTTGGTACTGGCAAAGGAGGTCTAATGGTGAATTATATGAGACTCTTGATGTAAACTTGGCTAATGCAGTGCTGTGCAACCCTCGGCACCAACAGTTTATTATTATCCCACATGGGCAGGCTGTGTTAAGACCAGCTGCAAGCACTAATACTCGGTGATTATTTTGTTTTTAATAACGCCAGTTTATTTAGGGTTATGCAATTTGCATATTAAGTTTATTGCAGACAGCCTTTAATATCTAAAATTAATAACAACGTTATTATTTGGTCTTGTGCTTTGGGAATAATAATAATATGACGTCATCTTCATGGTCTCTAGCGAGGGTTAATCGGCTGGCTAGGTCTCCAATGTGTTTTTGGGGTTGTACCACGTGTTGTTTGGCATTAAGTCCGACGTTTCGCTCCACGTGCTGGAGAGCTTCTTTAGGAACTGGATGAATTCAGATCGGCCATAGAATGACCGATCACAGTTATCACGAAGCGATGCAAACTCTAATCTAGTAAATAAAATTGTTAACAAAATAATTGTCAAAACATTGAAATAGTGGGTGACCGTGTATTCTAATTGTTAATATTTTAACATTTTAAAATCATAGATTTAGTGACGTCTGGTTGAGATATGGGATGTAGGACCGGAGGGACTGCATTTTGTGTTTAGTTTCTTGTCCTTCCCCCGCAACTCCCATTAGCGCGGTTGGCTACGTACGGTGCGAAAGAAGTTCAACATATATTCGTACATAACTGCTGGCAAAACCCTTCTCTACACCCTGTACTATGTCAATTTGCATGTCGGCATCCCAGACCAGACTCCCATGCCCACCGTGCTGTGGGTGCTGGACATTTTGAAGGCCAAGGCTCCGGAGCTATTGGTGGAGATAAGTCACATCCCATGCACCGTGCTGCACCTCACGGCCAGCCACAATGAGTAAGGAAATCCGCCGTGCCCTTCTCCCACCTTACCCTTCTCCCACCTTGCCTTGTCATCTTCTTATTCCACCTTGCCCTGCTTCTCATTGTCTCACATTTGGCGTGGATGTTTTAATGTTAAGATATTTATTATTATTATTAATCTCTGATTTTCTTGAGGAAATTTGCCACCTTTAAACAATTCAAGTATGCTGCTTTCACGCGTAGCATTTAGACGACAGTTTTTATTGTTACCTCGCACACCGATCATGAGTTTATGGTCTTCGCTGCGTGGCGCGTGTGGTAAAAATCCCTAATCGTAAGATCATAAATACATTTAAGGTTACACAGGCGATCGGTCGACACTTGATGTGGTCTGAAGGTGCACCTAACTTGGCACAACAACTGTGGTGACTACACCGCCACTTAGTGGCAATTGGCGGTTGTTATTGTTGTTGTCATCGTTGTTGTATCACACTGTAATGTTTGTCGAATGTTAAAGCACAATCTGGCACAAGCGTCATCAGACTAAGCGGGCTCTCACGTGACCTTCGTCTCGACTCCGTGCTTGTAGCCTGGTGAGAGGTGCGGAGACCATGGGCCTGAGGAAGGACAGGCACTGCGATTTCCAGAAATTACGAAAAAATTGGTTTCCCAAGAAGGCTGCAAACTTTGTGCACGCCTACAATTCTCCCGACACGGACCCCCTCACCTCGCAGGTGCGTTGAAGTCTTCATGTTAAGCAACAGAACACACACGTGCAACACCGTTTACGGTAACTAGTGAGTGCTGAGAATACAAAATGGACATGGTGGAGATAAAGGGCACTTATTGGCATCTAGCTCATCAGATGATTCTGCTGATGAAGCCGAGAATGGTGAAACCTGCCCAGAGTTTGCTTGCTGCTGGTTAACATTATTTTTGGAAATATCAACAGGCTGACACATTCGAATTATATGTGTAGATACATTATGCTGTACCGTACTATGCTCTGACTGTACAGATTACAAAGTATGGGGCCCAGCAAATCTGTCATCCAGAGAGAGACGCAGACAAACACTGGGACATAGGAGAGAGAGACACACAGACACTCGCCACTCCATAAATAGCAGTACTACCGTGCAATGTAAACCAGTTATTTCCCCCTCCCCAGACCAAGAAGATGTATAGGGGGGGGGGGGGGCAGGGAGTGAGCCACGTTGCTTTATTATAGCTTCTGACACCATTGCACGTGTCTGCATAGCACACGAACAACCGCCATCAAACCACTGAACTGCGGGCGCGTGCCGCCACTCGTGACGACCAAGAGAGCCGGCTGTGCCGCCGCGCGTGTGTGCGTGTGCGTGCCACAGGAGCGTCAGGCCATCATCTGCCACACGCTGGACAACGTGCGAGCCCGCTCAGGGGAACGCGTGGGCAACGTGAACTTCCTGGAGGGACAGGCCATCTGTACGTCCCGGGTGGCTCTTTCCAGGAAAACACTCGCGCGAAATGTGGCAGCGCGCACGCCCGGCCCCCTTGGGCAGGCAACAGTTTTTGTGTCTTTGCTAATTTACCGAGTGGGTTTGAATTCAAGAAGTCGAATCAGGCTGCCGTCGTCACGCTCGTTGCATCGTTCTGTGCTCACGGTCGTCGCCTCCGCGTGTAATTTTGTGCAGTTCCAGAGTTGCTGGCCAAGGGAATGGTGGCTCAAATTTTCCCTCTCCACGAGCCTCGGGCCCTGGCACATTTCGCTAAGACATGGATGTACGGCTTCTTGGAAAAGCAGCCGCTAGGTCAGCAAGTAACAACTCCGTCAACACTCCCCACAACTACACTGCCACACTGCGGTTGGCACCCATGCACACGCGCTTGGACAACAGTGGAGGCATACATCCCAATCAATATAACAAGCTATTTAAATTAAATCGCATTAATATCTCTGACCTCTATCTTTTCTGCATGTCTCTCCCACATCACACTCATCTATATATTTGTCTACATTTCTCAAATCTTACTACATCAATATTGCCTATATCTCTTTTGTCATCTCACAAGGAGTTTATAAATTAAAAGGGGAAGGGGGTCGTGCGGTACTCATGTTCTACTTTGGACCCAATGAGCAAGCACCACCACGAATATAGAGAGTGGTCCAGATGTCTTGTGACCCCAATTAATTGACCCCCAACAGTTTTCCCTTTGCAGATTAATTTCTGTTTAAAATAAACCTTACTTACATTTTTTTTAGTTTTGGAGAATGGTATTTAGGATCACAAGACATCTGGATCACTCTGTATAATACACCAGTGCCTCAAACACCTATTGCCACGATATGTGATTTTGAAGTACAACCATTTGACGTGTGATCTCTGTCCATATATTATGTTACATTTTAAGTTGGAAACTCGAGCACACATGGCGCACAAGAAGAGAATAATCAGGATGGGCGAGTGACTTAGTTACCCAGGGGTCCTCAGGCTTAGCCTCGTGAATTCCCTGAGTCAGCACCATGCAGAGTCTGAATTTAAATCCAGGCAGCTACCTATGATGAAACCAGTTTATCAGTTATAATGAGTTGACAACCTCAGCCTTTTCTCCTGGACCAAAAAGAAAATGTCAAGTAACTATTTACTTACTTACTTCAATGCAATCTGCTTATATGTGAGGGCTAAAAGGCTTTCGTAAAAATATTGACAAACCATTTCTTACACCGTATGAAGCAGCGCTATTGAGTGTTGGTAGTAAATACCTATTGATCTCTAACTTTGTCATCTTCTGAGATTATGCTCTCTGCCTTTGTGGTGTTTTAAAAGGGTTTTACCATTCGTATAAGTGGAATATCATCAGTGATAAAAAAATATATAAAATAATGGAATATTCCTCATAAAACATGTATATTCCATGCTCTCTGTTTAGAAAAGTGATGACCCACTTCCTCAGACTCAAAGTCACATTATCGACATCTGTAAAAGTGCACGCATGTTGGTTACTGTGTGGTCTGTGCTTGTGGTAATTATATCTGAACTGCTCCTGGGCCTCCCCGAGGATGACTCGGCCTTGAATGAGTACCTGGTGGGGTGTGTAAACATAAACATCAGGGAGTACAAAGGCTGTCGGGCACGGTGCTGACCACCCACCTCCTCGGCAATCGCTAACAGCACTTGCCCCAACAAGTCTGCTGAAAGCTATATGGGGGATCTTGTCTATTTTTTGTGTAATAGACCAGATTTGCGAGTACTTTGGGGTGAAAGTGGCCGTGTACTTCGCTTGGCTGGGCTTCTACACGTCGGCCATGTTCTACCCTGCATTCTTTGGGCTCCTGCTCTGGCTCTGCACAACCTCCGACCAGGTGATTTGTGAATAGAACCTGTGCTTAATGTGAATGCGAACATACTCTGTGTACAAAGAGAGCTCTGATCTGTGCCTCTACATAAAAGTGCTAATTATGGATAACACATCACAGTCATGCCCTGCTACCGGCAGACGAGCGCCCACTGGCAGATTGTTGCCGAGTTAGCTTGTGCTGCACAGGGACAGCTGCCACTGGAGGTGTCCTTCCAATCTTTGATATTCGATGTGATTAGAGGCAGTTTGAGTTTCTGAGGCATTTAACCACCGTATAAATGCAGGTGTTATACATTTTATATAATTTAGTCATCGGCGTATTGGCGTTCCAGACCGCGTGAATAAATTAGAAGGGAAAAAGGTAAGCCACATCTGGTGGTACCGACAAGTGAAAATGTTTGGTGTTTGAGCTCATGGACTAAAAGTGCAGCTAGAAGGTAAAGGCGCAGCCCTCCCATTGCTCGCTCACGCCACTGATGGCGGAAGGTCCTCCACTCGTGGAAACTCTAGAGAGCCCTTCTAGAGGATACTTTGGCCTACTCTTCCACGTTGGGTCATTCATCTTGGAAGAGGTGGGAGTACCCACACTTTACCCCACCACAGGCGACCTGCCGCCGATCGACTGTCGTGCACCCACTTACCGTATCCTGCTGAGTGGACATGGGCGGGAGGATCTAAGAACCTTGCATCACTGTTTCAAGTGACGCGCCGGGAGGTCGAATCAAACCGTCGTTCTCTGGATTGCAACTCCAATGTGCTCACCATCACACCCCGGGCGGCAACGTCCTCGTGATGGCAGATGGGAAACCGGGTGTGGGACTCTGCTTGCGTGTGCCGCAGACGAGCCAGGACATCAGCTGCGTGGCGTTCTCGCTGTTCAATGTGGTGTGGGCGACGCTGTTCCTGGAGGGCTGGAAGAGACACAGTGCCGAGCTCTCTCACAGGTGAACTCACGCAGGGGCGCAACTGCGGAGTGGGGGGGGGGGGTGTTATGCGGCGATGCATAGGGGCTCCAGTCGGCCACAAGGAGGCCCCGAATCAACAGATTAACGAGTACAAACACGTTAAGAAAAGTTATTTTAAAAAAGGTTCATTCAAAAATTACCTGTGGTTTACCATGCACCAAGCCCAACTAACGCGTCTGGCTATCATATCAAGAGAGCAGCATAACGTTGCACGATCCACCCCCTTTGAGAGAAGCTTAGACCGATTGGGGCCGGCATGACACACGATAACTTAATTGTGAATATTGTACCTTTCAATTTGTATTTAATTAATATTGTCACTGTGAGACTGTCTTCCTCTAAACCCCATTCACGGTGCAACTAAAATAACATATATAGAGAGTGTTATATCCTACATATTATTGTATACGGGTTAAAAATATCCGTATCTTGCATACCCCCGTTGAAATAGGTAGTTGCAGCGCCCCTGAACTCACGCTCCACTCCTCCACTTTGTGGGGGTGAGCGAAGCGTTGCGCCGTCCTCTGGAATATATAAATTGAGATCTCTTCTGCGAGAACCTCTGCTTCATCGTTATTACACCTGTAAATATGACTGCCTTACCGGCGTGTAATGATGCAGAAATGTGTCGATTAACGTTGTTAATTTTCGTTATATATGTGTAGTGAAACACAATACTTATGTATTTGGATATTGAGGGGCTGTGTTATGGAGGGAGGTGACGCCACGGCAGGGAACTTGGGGGATGAGGCTCTCGACTTATGTTGCTGAATGTGAATGTTATCAGCACCACTGAGTGGACAGAGCCCCGTTCCTAAAGTTCGTGGGTGTGAGGTGCAGTGGGATCGGTGGACAGCTTCGGGAGCTGTTAGATGGAGCAGTTAACGAGCAGCCACGAGGCTGTCAGATGGAGCAGTTAACGAGCAGCCACGAGGCTGTCAGTTGGGGCAGTTAATGGGCAGCCACGAGGCTGTCGGTTGGAGCAGTTAATGGGCAGCCACGAGGCTGTCGGTTGGAGCAGTTAATGGGTAGCCACGAGGCTGTCAGTTGGGGCAGTTAATGGGCAGCCACGAGGCTGTCAGTTGGGGCAGTTCACGGGCAGCCACGAGGCTGTCATTTGGGGCAGTTAATGGGCAGCCACGAGGCTGTCAGTTGGGGCAGTTAATGGGCAGCCACGAGGCTGTCAGTTGGGGCAGTTAATGGGCAGCCACGAGGCTGCCAGTTGGGGCAGTTAATGGGCAGCCACTAGGCTGCCAGTTGGGGCAGTTAATGGGCAGCCACGAGGCTGTCAGTTGGGGCAGTTAATGGGCAGCCACGAGGCTGTCAGTTGGGGCAGTTCACGGGCAGCCACGAGGCTGTCATTTGGGGCAGTTAATGGGCAGCCACGAGGCTGTCAGTTGGGGCAGTTAATGGGCAGCCACGAGGCTGTCAGTTGGGGCAGTTAATGGGCAGCCACGAGGCTGCCAGTTGGGGCAGTTAATGGGCAGCCACTAGGCTGCCAGTTGGGGCAGTTAATGGGCAGCCACGAGGCTGTCAGTTGGGGCAGTTAATGGGCAGCCACGAGGCTGCCAGTTGGGGCAGTTAATGGACAGCCACGAGGCTGTCAGTTGGGGCAGATAATGGGCAGCCACGAGGCTGCCAGTTGGGGCAGTTAATGGGCAGCCACGAGGCTGTCAGTTGGGGCAGTTAACGGGCAGCCACGAGGCTGTCGGTTGGAGCAGTTAACGGGCAGCCACGAGGTTGTCAGTTGGAGCAGTTAATGGGCAGCCACGAGGTTGTCAGTTGGGGCAGTTAATGGGCAGCCACGAGGCTGCCAGTTGGGGCAATTAATGGACAGCCACGAGGCTGCCAGTTGGGGCAGTTAATGGGCAGCCACGAGGCTGCCAGTTGGGGCAGTTAACGGGCAGCCACGAGGTTGTCAGTTGGAGCAGTTAATGGGCAGCCACGAGGTTGTCAGTTGGAGCAGTTAATGGGCAGCCACGAGGTTATCAGTTGGAGCAGTTAACGGGCAGCCACGAGGCTGTCGGTTCGAGCAGATAATGGGAGTGGCTAGGTTGTGAGAACTCCATAGGAAGTTATAGGATAAATAACTATATTAGTGTAAACAACAAGTTACCGATTGTTTCAATTGTGAAATAATATATTGTATTAAATTATGTTACCCATTCTGGGGACAAAATATACACGATTGTCAGTGTTTTCTTACTGTTTATATATAGCAAAATTTAGGCGGTGTTACATATGTGTAATAAAAGGACTCGGACACTTCCTTCTGTCTTCGTGTCTTTTATTGGGTTCTCGTCCTCACCCACACGGCACTCTGTTATAACTCTGTATTTGTAGCCCCCGGCTATTCACTGCTATTATAGCTCCTTCTTCCCTCTGACTCTCTGCTTCATCTACTGTAACCTCCTCCCTGCAGACTCGCTGCTACCTCTATGCAGACTCCCGCTGCTACCCCTATGTGCAGACCCTCTGGCTGCTACCGTATGCAGACCCGCTGCTGACTCTGTATGCAGCCCCGCTGCTGACTGCAGCCTCCTCGCTGCTTCGGGTCGGTCACCGCTGGCCAACGGTGCCGATCCTCGCTCCCCCGTGTTCGTGGCGATCTCGCCACCCTCCGCTTCGCCCTTCGTGGCCTCTCTCTGTTCCTGGTTCCCCGTCACTCCCCGTCCTCTTCCGGTTCCCCTCCTTCTATAGCCTAACCCCTCACCCCCCCACGTGACCTAACTCCTCCCCTCCTGACTGTCACCTCCGGAGGGCCGTTTACGCCCGCATTACATCACCCTCCCCCATAAAGAAAATCCAGCCGACCTCGGCTGAATTGCAACCTGACAAGAAATGCGGGTGTAAAGGGCCAACACGTAAAAAGACACGAAGCATGCAACAACAATATAACCAGAACACAACACAACACAATCTAACGAAACGTGAGGGATTTCGAGCGAGTACGGGCAGCCGGGCCGTCCCGGACGGTCGGCAGACCACCCGCCGAGCGGGAACGTGGAAGGGTTTTAGGGGCGACGGGCGCAAGTTCTTCCGTCGCCATTGGAGGCCCGCCACTGTCCCGCTCGCGTCCAGAGACATCCCGTACTCGCGTCCGCGGAGGGATAGGAAGAGCTGCAGGTCCCGTGGGTTCTGCGGCTCCAGTCGACGTCCCACGAGCGGAACGTCCTCCCCCCTGCGCTGTCACGGCCGGCTTGTCTGTGAAGGGTACGACAGGCGCTCTCGCAAGGTCAGCAGACACAGGCAAGGGCGAGTCGGCAGCAACAGACCCCGGCAAGGCAACTTCGGGAGATGACGCATCCGGCCGCGGGGCAATGTATGGCTTCAACCGGGATGTATGCACGAACCAGCGCCGTGAACCAACCTGAACACGCGCCGACTGTGGGTTGGGAACCTCAATGAGGCGGACCGGACCCTGCCAAGGTCTATGTAATTTAGGAGAGGTACCTGGCCGCACCTGTGGGCAATGAAGCCAGGCCAGGTCCCCCTTTTTCCAGGGGCACTCCCCCTTTGATCGTCGGGCACACCGCTCATTCCTGGCCTGAGCCTTGGCAGTAGCCATGCGGGCACTTTCCCTCGCCTCAGCGACACGCCGAACGTTGTCCTTAATATACTCAGGAAGAGGCTTAACAGGCCCCCTCGCGCCGGTTCCCAACTGTTCATTAATCGGCGGCACATTCTCACGGCCGTACATAAGGAAGAACGGCGAGTATCCAGTAGCCGCGTGCGGCGTCATGCGATACGCCGAAAGCACCCCAGGGATATGCAAATCCCAATCAGATTGATTTTCCCCGACTGTATGGCACAGCATGGCGGACAGAGTCCGATTCAACCGTTCCACCATACCATCCGTTTGCGGGTGGTAGGGGGACGTCCGTATCTTTTTAGTTCCAAGAGCCGCACACACCTCCCCCAACAATTTGGACGAAAAGTTACGTCCTTGATCCGTAAGGAGCCTCTCCGGCGCCCCTTTGTCCATTACATACCCAAATAGAAAGGCGTCAGTGATAGACGCCGCTGACTGGTCAGGCAAAGGCCAGGCCATCGGCCAGCGAGAGAGGTACTCAACCCCCACCAGTAAATACTTATTTCCCTTAGCGGATGGCGGAAAGGGTCCCAAAATATCTAACGCCACCAGCTCATTAACCCGAGATACTTTAATCGATTGTATCGGCGGAACATATGGATGTTTAGGTGGTTTACGGCGGGCGCAATCGGGACACGCGCGAACGTGACCGACGACATCCGTCGTCATGCCGTGCCAATAATAGTCTCGTTGCAGCGTCAATAGGGTTTTCTGCACCCCCAGGTGTAAAAGTGTGTCACAGTGCAAAGATCTAATCAACTCATACCGCAATGACGCAGGCACAACGAGACGCCAGTGTTCCTGTATCCCTTCCCTCCACATCAGTAACCCATCTCGGAGAGCAGTTTCCGAAATACCACCCGCACCGACTTCCTTACCCGCCTTCTCCGTTCGTTTTCGCAACGACACCAAAGATTCGTCCAACATTTGCTCCCGAATCCACACAGACCTTGGAAGACGCAAAACCCCGTCAGCCGGTCCCCCATCAACCGGTCCCGGTGTAAGCGGAGTTTCGGGAACATCCACTGCCAGCGCGACAGGCTGAGGGGGGGGCTGAGTCGGTCCACACCTATGCGTCCCCGACGCACACGCACAAGGGGATCGTTGCGGCAACCTGGACAGTGCGTCCGCGTTAGCGTGACGCACACCCTTCCGATGGTGAATTTGGAAGGAGAATTCTTGCAACGTGTCCAGCCATCTCGCCAATTGTCCGGATGGCTGGTCCATCTTAAGAGCGTACTGCAAGGCCGCATGGTCCGTGCGGACAATAAACGACCGACCGTACAGATACGGTCGAAATTGTCGGAGAAAAAACACAATAGCCAAAAGTTCCCTGCGAGTGACGCAGTAACGGGTTTCCGCGGGAGATAAAACCCGACTCCCATAC